CGTTTTTTTTCTCTATTTTTGTGTTGAATTTGTTTATCCTTGTAAACTACTTTTTTTGATTGAATACATCTTATGTTGGTATTCCTTTTTTTTCCACATCGGGGGTAAAAGTCATGAGTTTTTCACTGCGCTGTTAAAATGTTAATGCTCAAAGTAAAAGCTAAGTTATTTTAAAAAACACTTGTGATTGCTTATGTAATTTTAAACAGCTGAGGAAAAGGAACTTAGAAAATAGCCTCACACAACTCACAAAGAAAGGTGGATATGTTTGTGTAAACACAAAATAATCAAAGCCTCCCAACTCCATCCTGAGAGCTGAATCATTCAGATTGGCCATCGTTTTTGGTTAAACAGGGTAACTATCCAGTCAAAACAGTGGGCTATTGAGTAGAAAGCAAAGAAGAGGTTTTGTTGTATAACTCAGGACCTAGAGATATTTTCCAACCAAAATATCCAGTGTAGATACTTTCCTTACATTGCTTGACCTATAGCAACTGCCCTCTGCCACGTGGTGACACTCTAACCAGGTTAATCCAGCCCTGTTGTGGGACAGTCATGATCTTTAGCCTTTCATCGAGTGCACATGCCTCACCTCCTCAAAGTGGGCCCTGTGCCTCCTTCTGGCTTTTCCATTTCCCATCTCCCTAAAATTCTATGAAAGAAAACCATGAAATTATTCCACTGGATGGACAGGTCCTTTTAAGACATTTTTTCCCTCTTGTCTGGAAGATTTTATAAAAAAAGCCTCCCAACCTTCATTAATTTCCCTATATTTTCTCCGTTTATTAATTACACCTTGACACCAAAGCTGAAACACAACAAAAACAGGAAAACAGCAAAGAGTAAAGAGGGAGGTGCATGAAGCTCGCTTCTCTAACCCCAAACTGTGAGCCCACAGCAGTTCCTCAACTTCCCTGGAAACTACCAGACCGATGCCCTCAAGGGTTTCCTCAAAAACTTCCTGTTCTTGGAATATCAGAGGGTCAAAAATTATGTTCTTAAGCTAATCTCATAGGAAGTAAAGACATCCTTTGCTCAGGATCTACGACAATGTATTTTCTCATTGTAAATATCACCATGTAACCTAAAAAATATTAAGAAAGGCTTCTGCCCTTGAATAAATTTTAAACATACAGACTGTCATCGATCCTTCTGAATATATTCTCTCTCTGTCTCTCTCTCACACACACAGACACACACAGACACAGACACAGACACACACACACACACACACCCTTCACTCAACTGAGCAACGTCTTCTGAAGCCAAATGCCAAGTGCATTTAGACAGAGATATTGCAATCCCTGGGGAAGAGCTTCAATTACGAAGAAAAGCAAAATCTAACTACGTCTTTATTAAAGAACAAATGCTGACAAAACAAGAAATGTCACTAAGGGTTTTCTTTCTTCACTAGACAGCCACTTTCAGTGGGTGACTTATTTACCTTTGTTTTCATGCAAGGATTTCCCACAACTTTTCTCTAGGTCATGTCTTCCTGCAGTCCTGCCTCTACATATGCTGGCAAGATTCCCTCGAGCCTTTTCTCCTCACAGAAAAAAATACTGTCATGCTTACCTGTATTAAAGCCTGCAGCTAATTGCCTTTGGCTTGCTGAGTTTGAAATGGGAAAGAAGAGAGGAGCATTTGTATTACTGGGTCACTGCAAAGAAAATGCCCTGCACCAGCATGGATTTAGATTAGAAGAATCACCTGGGGACTTTGTTAAACTGCAGCTGCCTGAAGCCCAGCACAGGTGATTCCTATGCAGGTGGTCTTTGGGTTTTACTTAAAGACAGAGCTTCGTAAACTCTACGGTACCTAAGAATGGAGGGTGGGAGAGAGAATCTCGTTAAAATGCAGAGTATGATCCAGTAGGTCTGGAATGACTAGAAACTCTCAAGGTGATGTGAATGCTACCAGCCCACAGACCCCTCTTTGAGTAACAAGGTTTTGAGAAATGGTGATGGAAGTCCTCCCTACTGAACATGTAGTACCTGGCTCAGCAGCATCCATATGAGCTGGGAGCCCCATTAGAAATGTAGAATCTCAAGCCCCACCCCAGAACTACTGCATGGGAATCTGCATTTTATCAAGATTCCCAGATGATTCTTACGCACATTAGTTTGAGAAGCTGATAGAAAGAACTTCAGGGTCAAATTCACAAAAAAGTAAATAAATAAGTTGTTTTCTGTCAGAAAGGTTGAGGCGGCAAAAAAATAATGCATATTTTTGAAACCCACATTACTGTAGGCTTATATTAGAGAAACCAGAATAACCAGCCTAACCAACCAACTTCTTAAATCCAAACCCCCTTTCTACCAAAGGAAACCATGTAGGACAAGAGGTCAACATTGTTACCTCCTCGGCTCTGAATGTGAATAGCTATCATATGCTTTCACCTTTGTCTGTTTTCATTACTTCTCATGGTCCCTAGGTCAACCAATTTGGAGACCTTGCTATACCCAGTAGACTACCACCATTCTGGGGACAGGTGTTTTAAATAGTAGAGGTGCATTAATAAAGCCTAGTACTCCCAGTCAGAATGCGAGGTGGAATCATACTTTTGGACTTCTATCACTCCTTTCCAAAATTCTAGCTTTGCATGATATTTAGAGAGATCTGAAAAAGGGAGGTGTCACAACTTCTATAAACTCGGTACCTTGCAAAAGCGCATAACAGACTATAAGGATAATTTAACCAATGTAGTTGAAGATGTTTATTTTAAGATTTAAAGCAGTAACTTGCTAAAAAGTAGAGTCTAAAAGAAAAGATGCAGCTATTCGGGTTGCCAGAAACCAGAATAAAAGAAAAAGAAAAAAAAAACCTAAAATCAAAAAGAAAGAATTAAAACAAAAATGTAATTAGATAATCAGGGTCTAACAGAATCTGTGATCGTAGAGAGGCCTCCAGAAGCAATGAGAATCAGTGAGATTCTATGTACAAGCTCTTTATTTCCTTCAGTTTTGTTTTCATGCGTTTCTATCAGGAGGAAACTGCTTGCTACAGACAATTCCTTGCATTTGTTAATCAATAGATCAAGGAACAGTCAAAGGAGATAGGGACCATCTAGGAAGGGATGGTGCTGGCCTGATGAGTGAGGACAAGGCAAATGCAAATACTGTGTTCAATTAGCATTTTTGTGAACCTAGCGTTTCTGAAAACTATTTTCAAGTCACAGAATATTCAGAGAGCATCTGGCTCCATTTATGGAGATACTTTTGGTACCACTGCCTCCTGCTCCTCAACCAGTCCCACTCAAACTCAATTGTCTTCCCTTCCTCATGCCAACCTTAATCTCATCCTGCAGCCCAATTTGCTGCTTTGCCTGTGTTAAGGGCTTTAAATGTTAGTAATCACAGGAAGCCCTTAATTGAGCCCCTACTGTGTTCCAGGAACTTTCCATGTCTTATTTAATCCTCACAACCAACTTTTTCTTATTTACAAATGAAATAACTAAAGCTCAGAGAGGTGAAGAAACCTGTCCAAGGTCACAGTCCTGGAAAATGAAGGTTGTAGGATTCCATCCTTCATCTGTCCAAAAATCCATGCTCTTCTAGCAAAATCATTCTGTCATGGTAGCTCTTATTTTCTCACTTCCATCTCATCATTCTGATCACTGTGGTTGGGATGGCCCTTACTTCCTAGAAGCAGTTTGGGATGAGTACCCAAGGCTGTCCTTCTGAAGTCTTCTTTACACCTGGGAACCATGACTGCTGGTGCCCTCCCACACTGAATAGCCACAGCCTAGGTGCCTTTTCAAATACATTCTTTTCTTGAAGGTTTGAAGTGGATTTTGCATTCCAAAATATGTACACTAGAGCTTAGGATTTAAAGTTAAGTCCTTTGCCAATGTTCTTCTATGTTCAGAAAAATCAAGAAAAATAAAGGCAAACCCCAAAGGATGGCTATGGCATGTCTATAGAAGGCATTTCAACATTGATCTATTGGGTTAATCGCCTAACTTTCTCTGTTCCATCATAGGTGTGTATGGGTAATTCCAGTACGCTTGAGCTATTCTGCCAAAACAATGACTAATAGCATAGTTATTCAAGTATGATTTACCCTGTTGCAAGGTACAGACACAAACTCTAAATAGAGGACCAGGTGGAAGCCTGTGTTAGAGCAGGTACATTTACAGAGGATGCCAGTCACATTTAGATGAAAGTCCCTTTGTTGTCTCTCTAAAATACTGGTTTTTTATATTATAAAATCATAAAGGAGGAAAGGCTTTTGACTAAAAGCCAGCTGGGGAATAACTTGCCAAACAAAACATCGAGAATCCATTGCAAACATCTTCAGATAATTCTTTTGGGGAAAGGAGGAGACTCTTCCTGGTGATGAATGAATATTTTGACTTGGTGATTAATCACAGTTTACTGGAAGACATGATCACATGTGTCACTCTGTAACACCTTCCTTGCTGCCATTAGCTACAAGAGCCCCTCTCCTCAAATATTTTAATTGACTACAGATCAGGAAATTGAGCCAAATCTCCAGACAAGACATGTGTAATAACTGCTCCTCCTAAAAAGATGCCTGTGATCTTCTTTTTGTCTTTAGTGTTGTAAAAAGGGCAGAACTTTTCCCCAAAGTCTTCAGTTTGAAAATATTGGTCTTTATACTCATCACCACTCATTCATACACTGAGTATCCTCGTGATATTTTAGGGAATCTTTTTAAACTTAACTTTCTAAGAGTAAGTCCTTCTGAAAGAAGAATTTAAGAAGTTAAGTGGTTCTCTTGTGGCAAGCCTGCAACTCCTGGATTTGGACAGATTAAACACAGTAAAGATTTCCTATATCAATTCAGAGGACATTACCTGAAAATTTGAAAGCTTTTCTAAAAGTCCAGTAAAAAAGAAATGAGAAGAAGGAAAGAATGAAGAAATAAAGGAAGGAAGGAAGAAGACAACAGAAGAAAAGTGAGGTGAGGGGGGAAAGAAAGAAAGAGGAAATAAATTATGTAGAATACATATTTTTAAAACTAAAAGGACAAAGCAATTCAACTAACATATATTAATCTTTATTCTATAACAGAGACATAAATAATTTTATGAATTCATATAACCTATACAAAAGACAAAATAAGATATTGCACTAAATTTAGATATGGGATATTTGAATTTAATATTAGCTAATCAGATAAATATATACAATTTAAGGAGTTAAGGCAAAACCAGATGATACTTCAAACACAACAGAAGGTTTGAAAAATAGGTATAATTAAAAACAAAGGCATCCCCTCTCCAGTTAATAAAGTGATTATATCTAAGGGAAAAAAATCCCTTAGGTTTTTAATAAAGTGGGTATTATCAATCATGTTAATTAAAATTGAGCAGTAAAGTATAAGATTTCCTGCGGAGGAGAGCTGTTTTGACAAGGTTTGGGGACAGAGCATTTAGAATTTGGGTAAGCAACTTTTTCCTTATCAGATTTATAATCTATTCTTCCTATTAGAAAATATAATTTGGAAAATATGACTCTTTCACATATATAATTAAAATACAACTATGAAGCATTCTTTTTTTTTTTTTGACAGAAGTCATGTTGATGATCTCATAGTAAAGGCAAATTACTGGCAAGCCATTCATTACCTTATTTGTACTTATTTTTAGAGAAAACACAAAGCCAGTCACTGAAAAACAATTCCCAGCTACCTTACGAGAACGAAACAAACTATTCCAAAGAAATAAAAACAAGTGTAATCGATAATATCAACACAGTATACAGTTCTTTGGCAGTATCACACTAACCATTGATTGGAGTCGGAACTTCAGAGCTTTCTAATTCTCAGACCCAGTTGCCAGTCTTTTAAAAATAAATAAATAAAATTCCACATCTGCAACAAATTCAGTTAATTTCAGGAAATTAAATTCATAATAAAACTTGCAGATAGCTTTTGACTGTTACATTTAAGCATGGACAGGTATTATCTGCTTTGAGTCCCAATCCAAATATATTGAAACGCACACACACGAAAATAATCTGTGGAACTTTGTGTTGATTCTGACATGTCTAGAATCCTTAAAGGGAATCCATATTCACCCATGAGAAATCAATAAAAGACATCAATCCAACGATGAAAAAATGGTCTTCCAATAACTTGGGGGTAGGCTGCCCCTCACCTGGACAAACATCATGAAGAAATCAAATTCTATAGGGGGAACACCAGAAAGCCAGAGAACGTGGAATACTGCCAGCCTCCAACCAAATTACCTTTCTCCAGTTTTAAATAAACCTTATCCTCTTTATCTAGGTAGAGTAGGACTCCATTAGTGGCGGCTTCACGAGTAACGTCTTTGTCCCCAGCAAAGGCAGATATTACTGGTTTTCCGTTTAACATCAGGTTAACCTAGAAGAAGGAAAAAAATCACTGAAAATCTCCCTTTGCAGTCAAAACATCTACTGGGGAATGGAAGGAAGAGAGGGAGGGAGGGAGGGAGGGAGGGAGTAATGTCTAAGATGATAGACCTGGTAAAATACCTGATGTTCAGGGAATATATCCTTTTCCTTTTCAAATTAGCCAGTTGTGGGGGCCAGACATTGCATGTCTGCTGAGATTTTTTTTTTAATTTCTCCCAGAGGAATTTCCTTAATTTGCTACCAAAGAATACCATCCGTGCAGAGTAGCCTAGCCATATGAGAACTGGCTTCCCTTTAGCATGTAAATTAAGCTTACTACTTTATTTACCTCTTCCACTCAACAGCAATTTTTTGGTAATGAAGCAGGATTGTGTTTTCCCTGTGCATTAGTAAAAGGAGACCCAGTGCCCGCTGACCTAATAAACCCAGACACAGCCAAATTCTTCCAACATCCTGCAGGTTTCGGTGCAGCTGTAACATGCATGCATAGTGCTGAAAATCATTTGAAATAACAAAGGGTGTCTGTGTTGATTTCTTTTTCTCTTTTCCCTTATAAGAAATGTGTACTGAAAATAATAATCACCACTACCACTGGAGATGTTAATGATGGATAGTTAGCAAATAATTAACTCAAAATTTTATTAACTTTTTTTCTGTACTATAATTTTGACTATACTGTGTCAATTATTACATAAATTTTGAAATATTGGGGCTTGGAAAAAACTTTTCATGAAAGTAAGTTTGTTTAGTAAGTATTTATTCCTTTCTGGTTAAAAGTAATATTGAATAAATTAAATCTGAGTCTGACCAATTTATCCATTCACTAAGATACGTAAAAGTGATGAGTGTGTAATCTATCATTCACATAAACATAATGTACAATGTAAGTACTGAGCATACAATAAAAATTATTCTAGAATTCCATAGGCTTGTATTGGTGTCATTTTATATTAGCATATTTGCATATTATAGGAACTAGCTTCATTGTTGTCTTTGAGTGTAACGTCAACCCTGTTATCTTAGAAAGCATATACAAAATATTTTGTTAACTGTGGAATTGTAATTAGTAAAAATTCACTAGCATCAGAGTAACTGAGGCTAAACTAAAGCATAAGCATAGCACATCCTTTTTAAAAAAGCATATTTAATAGTTGTTCCTTCACAGCTTTATTTTTAATGATTAACTGTATGTTACATTTTTTAATAACAGCAAATTTGTTTTATTTATTTAATGTTCACTTTTAAAGCTCTGCTAGTCTTACAAGTCTTTCCCTCCGAGTTCAAATAATTTTTGTACATGCATCAAAAGAAATTAAGATCTTATTAAGAGATTCATGTCACTGAGTTTTTCCTAAACCGTGCTTTTTAAATGTTTAGTTGTTATTAAGGTGATAATTTGAATTGTTTCTTTTTATATGCTTTTTGTCACACTCCTTAATGGAGGTTACAAAGAAAATTGAAATTAAGTGTTTAAAAAAACCCATAAAAATGGCTATTTATTTTTACAATAAAAATACATCTTTGGATAAATACTTAAAAATATAACCCACTAAAGATAAACACCAATTGTTTGGGAGTAGAGACAGAATTGGTCGAAACACATACCTGAATTGTTTGGCTCTGGTAGACTTTAATTACGTGAAAACTGAAACTGTAAATTCCTTTTCTTGGTGCTACAAAGACAGACTCCAACGTGAAAAAATTACCCACATTTACTAGGATCTACAAATAAAAATAACAAACAACAGTAAATTATTACAACATTCTCTTCTATAAGTCAAATAAGTTTCCCTTCTCCCTCACTCCCAGCTTCCTTCTCTCCCTCCCTTCCTCCCTATCTTCTCTCCTTCTTTTTTTCTTCTTTCTTTTTCTCTCTTTTTTCTTTCTTTCTTATCAACAATTACCTAAGAAACCATAGAGAGTAAAACATCTAGTTCTCTTTATTTCTTCTTGATTTGGAAAATGGATTTGTACATTGGAAGGTTCCTCTGTCTTTTAAGGGATATAGGAAAGAATAAATTAACTGCTTTGTATTCATTCCTCAATTTCCAGCAAGGCCTGATGGCTCTGGAAACATCTAGGTAATATGTGAGGGCTCATAAATATTAGCTTTACCTTGAAAATCAGATAAAAAGGCATCTGCCGTGTATTTACATTCCCACCATCTATAAGTCCTCACAATGTCCAGAAGTCACGTTTCCAAGCCAGCCAATCAGCATCCGTGGGCTCTCTGCAGTCATCCCCAGACATATTACACAGAGGTATGGGCACCCCCTCCAGTATGTGACATAATCCTTGACACCAAACAGTTGGTGCACAAAGTGATCTGAATGTCTGGTCCTTCTCTGAGCCTCCACCAGCCCTCTCCTAAGATCTATGGCCATTTTTATTTTTCATTCCTGTGCCATGTAGACCTTAATTGTAATATTTTGGCAATGAGTCAGTCTTTGCAGCCTGCTAAAGAATAGAGCTTAAATAAGGACAGACTATAAAATAGGTGGCCTTTGCATGTTTCTCCCAGTGTTATCCATTATCCCCCTATCAATCACCTGCTCTTTATATATAGTTCAAGGGTCAAAGTGAAATTAGGAACTGTTTCCCAAGAAAGCAACAATGCATTTTTTATTCTAAGATGTTCATCCTGATTCTACTGGTTATGAAATTAACTCTGAGTTTCAATAAGTGACCTCTTAAGCTAATTTGCAGCATCACATAGGTAAGTCTCTTCCTATGAGGAAGGGGGGGGACAGTAAAATAACTAGGGTTTCTTTCACTCTCTCTGAGAAATAAATCTATAATTGGCCAAAAAAATCAAATGTCCCTATATAGATACATTTACCATATATCAATGGCAATCTGCTACTATCTTTTTTAAACACTGCATTTTTGCCAATATTAATGCCTTTTCAAGCCTTTTGCATAATTCCCTAAAAACATATTATTATCACTGAGCAACACACCAGAATATAGTGACAGCCAGACAGATGTACCAGGCTTAACACCTGACTTAAAATACATGTACATGTGTATAATTTTACTTTGAGATTTTACCTTCTTCCAAGTAAGCATCAGATTCCTTTTCTCTGACCTGATGATCAATGGTCTTTCAACAAGTTGAAACAAGCTGTGCGATAATCTCCAAAGACGCTTTACAAAGCATTTTTTTCAAGCACATTTAAAATAATTTGAGGTGCTTCATGGAGACTTCCTGACTCAGATACAATTAGCATAATTCATTAGCAATAATTGAAATGGCTGATTAGTGTTGACTACACATAAACCTGGATGTTGACTCTACATTGTAATTGGAGCATCCAGGCACATCAAGATTTATAACTAAATGTGTCTTGTTGTCTCTAAGATGCATGGCTCCCTGAACAGAAAACAAGCCCTTTTCCTCTTCTAATTGATGAAAAGGTCATTGAAAAGAACACCCATCCAGAGGATAGTACAATGTCCACAGTATTCCAACATTTAATTAATGCATTGACATACAGTGGTGGTGCTAGACTTTATTCAAGATGGAAAATACTGCACCAAAACCCCAAATGAGCTACTTAATTCTTTAAAAATTATGGCTATTCAATAGCAGGTCCCGAGAGAGGCATTCTCTGTCTTTGGCCAGCTGGAGAGTGCATCACTTAGGAAAAATCAAGTAAGGAATACAGATGTCACCTCATGCCTTCCCTGGCACATCCTACAACACCACTTAACCCTGTGCTCCTGCATGTGAGGCTTCGCATACAACTGTAAACTGTGAGGAATTTTTAAAAGACTCTGGATGATGCTGTTGGGGTTACAATTAAAACTCCAGAGTCAGTTTTCTTCCTTAAGATTCCTTGCTAAAGCCAAACTGATATTCTGAAGATTCTCATCATGCCAAATCACAGAGCACCAGGTCGATAAACAGAAGCCAGGGCTTTCATCAGTTCCTCCCCCACCCCCTACCCTCAGCCTCTAAGTCTGTCTTTCTCCACAATTTGCAATTCCCTGAAACGACAGGAGCTCAGGAAGGGAGAACCATCTCCCCCGAGCTTTCCTACACAGAAGCTCAGCGCAGTTGCCCAATTCCTCTTCCTCCCCTCCTCTGCAACTTTTCTACAAGTACCAAGACAGGCTTTCTGCCTCCTCTGAGGCAGCGGCAGCAGCGGCGCTTGAAACCTGTATGGGGACCCTGAGATCTGACGCCCGCCCCCGCCCCCCGCCCTCAGCGGCCACCTGCCCCGTTCTCTGCAGAGAGTGTGGAGCCGGGGAGCTCTCTTTGGGGGGAAGCTTCTCTACCTGGGAGAAACAAATCAAACATTTATCCAGTATCAGCGAGGGTACCACGAGGATAGGCTCAGCAGCACCTGCAGAGGAGTCTGAGTCAGGGGGCCAGGCTCTGGCCAAGAGATCGCGATGTCCAGGGACCAGATTCCCTTCAGCTCCTGTCGACCTGTTGCTGGTAAACTTGTCCTGAGCTCTCGCTGCGCCTCTGTGCTCCCAAGCCTCTCCCTACCTCTCCCCAGCAGCTCCTTTCCAGGCAAAGAGAAAACTGTGGCTGGAGGTGGCGGGAGGAGACATTAGAAGTTTCAGACCCAGACATATTTGGGGAGGTGGGTGCCTAAATTATCCCCCCACATCCCAATCGGATCAACTTAGCCTGAGCAGACAGCCCTGGCCTGAGGTGCCAGGAGACCGTCCACCCCCTCGGTGCCCCACATCCCTTGGGGTCTGACCTGATCGAAGTAAATGATGCGCGTCTTGTTGCTCATCTCGGATGGCTCGTGGTTGGTGCTCCGCACCGCCGAGAAGGCGACCTTGGAGTTGGCCGCGCGTACCGATATCCCCAGAGGAGAGGAAGAGGAGCCCTTGGAGTCTGTGGCCGGGTTCGAGTCGCACACCACTAGACACTTGCCTTCCAGCACGATGGGCTCAGTGTCGTTCTGCGCCCAGACGGGCAGTCCTGGCAGCGTGAGGACCAGCAGAACAGCTGGTACCACGGACAGCGCCCGGCGCCGCGAGCCCATGGCGACCGCGCCG